GAGAGAGAGAGAGAGAGAGAGAGATCATGAAAAACTTCTAACAACTGCCACAAATGCAGTGTTTCGTACTTGCCAGGAAGAAAGCAAAAGCAGGGGCTGGAGTGATAGCACAGCAGGTAGGGCATTTGCCTTGCACACGGCTGACCAGGGTTCGATACCCAGCATCCCATATGGTCCCCCTGAGCACCACCAGGAGTAATTCCTGAGTGCAGAACCAGGAGTAATCCCTGTGTATTGCTGGGTGTGACCCAAAAAGGGAAAAAAAAAAAGCAAAAGCAGGTTTCAAGCTTAAACTCTCCTCTTGCTTCCTGCCACTCAAACCTGACCCCGTTCCAGATATTACTATAAACATTATCATGGGAGCCCAGATTTAGAAGGGCCTGTTTTCTCTTCGGCACTCCACCATCACTAGTTCAATGGCAGTGTCTTGGCTTTGCCTGCCACCTTGACTCGAAATCTCAGTCCTGGCTAACCGAGCCTTCTTCCAGATCAGCTTCCCAGGCTTCTTCCCTGTGAAGATTGGAGCCCGATGTGGGGCTGGTATGGAATCTTCTGCCACTCTAGCCACAGCAAGAAGTGACCTGCTGGCCCAGTGCCTCAACCTTTCTTCTAACACTTACTTCCCTCTGCAGAGCCTCCTTCACTTCTTAGCTTTTTCCAAATCTTAGCTATTGGCTAGGACTTTGTTTTGTTTCTTTTATTTTGCTTCGGGAATCACATTCAGTGGTGTTCAGGGCTTACTCCTGGTCGGGGACCATATGTGGTCCTGAAGACCGAACTTGGGTCAACCACACACAAGGCAAGCGTGCTGCCCCCGTACTGTTGCTCTGGCCCCAGGCTGGGACTTTATTAACTGAAAATCTTTTTTTTTTTTAAGTCTCTTCCTTTTATGAGAAGCCATTATTTATGCCATTATTAATAGTATTATGAACCACAGAATCTTGGATTAATAAAAAGGAATTTTAAGTGCCTTCCTAACTTAATGCATTTCCTTTCCCTAACCTTGGCCATTCACCTAAAAACCTATGGTGGTTTGTTTTGTTTTGCTTTTTAAGTTGGAAATTGCAAATTTTCCTTAAACGGACTCCTCATTTAAGGTGCCCGGGTCAGGCCTTCAAGGTCCCACTGTGCTTACACTATTTTCCCTGTTTGCTGTTGACAGGCAGGGTCAGCCTTGTCTCTGTTGCCCCAAACCCCTGCTTGGGCGGCTTCCAGGAGTAGTGCTACATTCCCTGTAAAAATGCCACCTTAAGAGGGGTTGTAAAGGTTTACCATTCTTAGGTCACAAGAATTGTTACATAACAAAGCGCCTTAAAAATAATCAGTTCCGGGGGCTGGAGCGATAGCACAGCGGGTAGGGCGTTTGCCTTCCATGCGCCGACCCAGGTTCAGTTCCCAGCATCCCATATGGTCCCCCGACCACCACCAGGAGTGATTCCTGAGTGCAGAGCCAGAAGTAACCCCTGTGCATTGCCGGGTGTGACCCAAAAAGCAAAAATAAATAAAAAGTAAAAATTTTTAAAAAATAATCTGTTCCAGAAGCAGCTTCTGGCCTGGCAGGTGGCTGGGCATGGCCCAGAGCAGGACTACTCCTCTCCTGGGACACAGGCCTTTTCGACATCCATTCCTGATGTATTGAGAAACATTCAGGGAGTGAAACCAGCAAGCATGTGACTAAGCACACAAATACAATTTTAAAATAGATGCTCATTTTGGAGATGCTTCCCAGGCAGTTCTCAGATGACCCAGAGGCCACTTCCTGCAGAGTCCAGTGGGCTGTACAGTGTGGGAATCAAACTTGGGGCCTTTTGAATGTCAGGCATGTACTTCACCCCATTGAGCTTTATTTCCAGTCCCTAAGATAATATATTTTGGACCTGAGAAATTTCACCTAAGTGCTCTTCTTCCATTCATCTCCAGAAATTCTGGTAACTTTCTTCCAATTAATACCACTTTGGTGGAAGCATATGCTTAAGAAAGTACAAAGTTTCTTCAAAAATGAGTGGTAACATTCCATATTTCTTTCTCTGACTTAGCACTATTAGCACTAGCCTCCTGTTGTTCATCGATTTGCTCGAGCGGGCACCAGTAACGTCTCCATTGTGAGACTTATTGTTACTGTCTTTGGCATATCGAATACACCACAGGAGCTTGCCCGGCTCTGCTGTGCAGGCAAAATATTCTCAGTATCTTGCCAGGCACTCTGAGAGGGACGGAGGAATCAAACCCGGGTCAGCCGCTTGCAAGGCAAACGCCCTACCCACTGTGCCTTCATTCCAGTCCTTCCTCTGACTTATTTGCCTTAGTATGATATTCATCGGTTCCATATGCTATTGGAGTTAACTGCAAACTTTCATCTTTTCTTATAGCTTCATAGTATTGCATTGTATATATATCATAACTTCTTTATCCATTCTTCACTTTTTGGACATTTGAGCTGTTTTCTTATCCTGGTTATACTAAGTTGTACACACTTATGATGTCATGATGTTGTACATACTTATGATGAACATAAGTGTGAATCTATCTTTTCAAATTAATATTTGTGATTTGGGGGTACTTGTTGTTACTGTGTTTGGCATATTGAATACGTCACGGGTACAGTAACAACAAGTCTCACGATGGAGACATTACTGGGCCCACTCGAGAAAATCAATGAACAGTGGGAGGACGGTGACAGATTTGGGGGTACATGCTAAGAAATGGAATTGCTGGATCATGTGGGAGCTCTTTTTTCAGAAGTCTCCATGATGTTTTTAGAGACTGAACCAGAGAGCATTCCCACCAACAGTTGAATGAGAGTTCCTTTTTCAGCACATACTATCCAACACTGGTTGTATCAAGTCATTCTCACTAGACAACTGGAAATAACATAAGGACATTGGTACATGTTTGGGACACTTTTGTGTTGGTGAAGTTTGATAATAGGATACATCAAAACTGTAAACATTAAAACTATTATAAATGTGACTTAAATGATAATAAACTAATCTAATAATGAATAATTTTATACAAAAATGTTTAACATTTTATGTGGAGCTTTCATGTGGTTGTTATTAAATCCTTATTTAAGAGATAATTGACAAACTTAGACTTTATTTTATGACATATATATGAGCTAAAAATGTTGTGGTTGAATTCATGCATTTGTAAAAATGGAATGGTTTTTTTGTGGACACCCTCCCCCTTTTCCTTTGTTGTTGTGGAATCACATTGACAGAGCCAGGGACTTGTACTCACTGGTGATGTGGGGTTGTACTGGGGATTGAACTTGTAGCCTCACACATAACTGACAAACACTGTATTATTGAGCCACATCCCTGTGTCCTGTGATACAAAAAACTTTTTAATACAGTAGACACTTGAGGAATCTTGGGACAGTTACTTTATAAAAAAAAAAATCACCTTTGGGAGATGCATGTTGAAAGTAGACTATGGACCGTACATGATTGCCACTCAATGTCTCTTTTGCAGACCACAACACCTAAAAGGAGAGAGAGAACAAAAGGGAATGCCCAGCTACAGAGGCAGGAGGGGATGGGTGTGGGAGGGATACTGGGATCCATGGTGGTGGAAAATGGGCACTGGTGGAGGGATGGGAATTTGATCATTGTATAATCGAAAGCCAGGCACAAAAATTTGTAAGTCTACAACTGTACCTCATGGTGTTTCACTAATAAAAATTAATTTTAAAAATCACCTTAAGTTAATAAATATCTACTTAAATTGTAAATAGTTCTTATTAATTGGGGTTTCAAAAATTGGTACTTATATCAATATTATCAAATTCACCTGAAGTCAATGAAAATTTATTGTTAATGAAGTTGAGTAACCTAAGAAGTACTTTTAGAATTCTGTCTAAAGTATTATTTATAATACTGGTATTATCATAATGAAGTGCATATAAGAAAATTTGAATTCAATCATGAAGTTCCTCCAGGCAAATTATTAAATAACCATGAGATTAGTCAGGCTAACTTCAAAGTTGATTTGGAACATTGTGCTTTATTACTGTAAGCAATTAAATTATGTTCAGAATACATTTTCATTAATACGCTGTATATGTCCAGCTACTTCCATATGCTTTTCTGGTCTTTATACAGCAGCACCATTCAATAAAAAGACACTGAACGCTTATTGAAGCTTTACTTATTATACCCAATATGTTGCATTGATAATGATGATACATTGATTAAAATAGAATGAATGAAGTGTATTTGAAAAGATTTAAAATGTAGTTTAAATACACTTTTGTTAATTTTAGAAATTTAAAATGTACTCATCGGGCTGGAGCGATAGCACAGCTGTAGTGCATTTGCCTTGCTCGCAGCCAGCCTGGTCGAGCCGGGTTCGATTCTTCCTCCCCTTTCGGAGAGCCTGGCAAGCTACCGAGAGTATCTTGCCCACACGGCAAAGCCTGGCAAGCTACCTGTGACGTATTCAATATGCCAAACACAGTAACAAGAAATCTCAAAAAAAATGGAGACATTACTGGGCCCGCTCGAGCAAATTGATGAAGAGTAGTCCAGTAGTCCTTTATGTTGATGTCTACTTCTTCTAGATTTGTTTCACTAATAAAACAAAAAAAATGTACTCAGTTACATCATTATGAAGAAAATAAGAACAATATCATATATTGGATTCTAGATCCTTTGATGAAGACTGTTAGATTAGTCTAAAAGCAGAAAAGATAAAACTGACTAGCAGTATTATTATTTTCATACATATCTAGATAAACAATTCCTTAGCAAGATGTGAGTGACTTGTGGAATTTAGTACAGTTATTGTTGGCTAAAACAGTACATATTATGTTGACATAGACTATTTGCACTTACCTATCATGTAGGGAAAATACTGTAACAAGATATTCATTGATTTATTTTTGTGGCAAGAAAGAAATTTAAAATTTTTTAACAGATGTCTTAAATGCAAACAGAATTATGGTTAAGTTGTTGAAATGAAATTTTAATGAAATGTCATCTTTTCTGCTTTCTTATTAGGCTATCAGCTGCAAAGGTCAACACAGTATATCATACACTCTGTCCAGGAATCAGACTGTGGTGGTCGAATACACTCATGATAAAGATACAGACATGTTTCAGGTAACCCCCTTTCTTAATGAAAATTTTATCACATTTCTCCTTCATTTCTAGATTTTGCTATACTTTATATTATATCAACAGAACTTCTATAACGGTGATATTTAATGTCAAGTGGAAATGATGTCAGTAGGAAGAGATTCATATAATGTAAAAATTATTCCTGTGTATGTTTTGAAAGCCAGAAAAAAATTAATTGCAAAAAGAAAGTATAAGAGCTGCATTCTCAGATCTTAGCACAATAATAAAAGACTTTAGTGGTTTTTTTTAAAGTAAAAAACTTTAAATGCTTTAAATGACAACAAACATGTTCAAAATACTTCCAGAATAACACTTGAATCACAGAGGACACCAAAACTGCAATTATAGTCCTCTTAAAATGTAATGAGGAGAAAGTGGCTGAGGACAGATATGAGCTCACAAAAAAAAAGATGCCTTATGTTAACACAAGGGACTCCTACTCAACTCTAAGATGAAATTTTATATTTTTCCACAACATGGATTGAATTGATGTCATTGTCGTAAGTGAAATAAATCCGGGGAAATACAATACCAGGTGATCTCACTCATATTTGTTATATAAATAATGCAGGGGCAATGGTGGAGGGTCTTTGGCATTTTAGGGATGCGAGGGAGGCTGCAGTAACTTTAATACACCAAAACCACAAATCTTTTCTTTCCATTTCTTTTTTATTGAATCACTGTGAGATACAGTTACAGAGCTTTCATGTTTGAGTTTCAGTCATACAATGATTGAACACCCATCCCTCCACCAGTGCATATCTTCCACCACCAGTGTCCCCAGTACCACCCCCATCCCATCCCTCCCCCTGCCTCTATGGCAGACAACTTCCCCTCATAATCTCTCTCTACTTGGGCATTATGGTTTGCAATACAGATACTGAGAGGCTATCACATTTGGTCCTTTATCTACTTTCAGCATACATCTCCCATCCGGAACTATCCCTCCAACCATCACTGACTTAGTGATCCCTTCTCTATTCCAGCTGCCTTCTCCCCCAGTGCATGAAGCAGGCTTCCAGCTATGGAGCAATATTCCTGGCGCTTGTCCCTACTGTCCTTGGGTGTCAGTCTCATATTATGTTATTTTTATATTCCACAAATTAGTGCAGTCATTTTCTGACTGTCCGTCTCTTTCTGACTCACTTTACTTAGCATGATATGATACTCTCCATGACCACCCACTTATAAGCAAATTTCATGACTTCATTTTTCCTAATAGCTGCATAGTATTCCTTTGTGTAGATGTACCAAAGTTTCTTTATCCAGTTGTCTGTTCTCAGACACTCAGATTGTTTCCAGATTCTAGCTATTGTGAACAGTGCTGCAGTGTACATACAAGTGCGGATGTCATTTCTACTGTGTTTTTTTGCACCCTCGGGATATATTCCCAGAAGTCAAAACCACAAATCTTAACATTATTGTAACCATTTTATCTAAACTGTAACAAATAAATAATACTAATAAGGTAAAAGTGGGACTCCGAGCCAGGCTATTTTCACTCGGGGCGCTCCAGTGGGAGACGGGTAAGAGCCCTTCCCACCCCAAGGGACTCAGCCCCAGCAGCTGACCTCCACTGCCTAACCACTGTCACGCTTCAGGCCGCTTTCCACATGCTCGGGCTGAGCCTCACATATGAGTGAACATATACCTGGCTGCTTTCGTGGCCACATGACGTATCATAAGACACTCCTTACCCATTTTCCATAATTACCACACCATATTTTATATATATCTTGGAGAGCCCGGCAAACAACTGAGAGTATCCCACCCACACGGCAGAGCCTGGCAAGCTAGCTGTGGCGTACTTGGTATGCCAAAACCAGTAATAATAACGGCTCTCATTGGAGGCTCTGACCCTGAACGAGCCTCCAATACTTGGGAAAGACGAGTAAGTAGAGGCTGCTAAATTCATTCCAGGGCTGGAACGAATGGAGATGTTACTGGCACCCGCTCGAGTAAATCAAAGAACAAGGCTGCAGTTGCCCCGTCATCGCCGGCTCATACCTGGCTTTCCAATAAGCTCTGAGGCAGTGGCCACCTTACTGCTGGGTGTTGGGGGGGGGGGGGAGGCGGAAGGGAGAGACACCCTTTCCTTCCTAGGGAGGCATGGTGCCATAGTTTAACGCAAAATCCATTCACTTTTCTGCTGCAAGCTGCCAGGCTCTGGTTTAAGTCCTTGTGCCTCTGGAGCCATGGCCATGCTGGAGACCCGCTCATGGGAGGGGGGTGGGGGGGTGGCAACTTGTGGCCTCGGTAGGGCATGAAGGACCTAGGTAGGAAAACTTTTGAATGTCATTAAAGTTGTAAGGTAAAGGTAAAGGTAAAGGCCCTCCCGTTGATTGTCGATTTGCTCGAGCGGGCCCAGTAACGTCTCCATTGGAGACTTTGTTGTTACTGTGTCTGGCATATCGAATACTCTCGGTAGCTTGCCGGGCTCTCCGAGAGGGGCGGAGGAATCGAACTCGGGTCGGCCATGTTGGCCGCGTGTAAGGCAAACGCCCTACCCAACATGGCCGCGTGTAAGGCAAACGCCCTACCCAACATGGCCGACCCAAGTTCGATTCCTCCGCCCCTCTCGGAGAGCCCGGCAAGCTACCGAGAGTATTCGATATGCCAGACACAGTAATATACCGAATTAAAGTTGTACTCAGAGGAAAATATAAAGCCTTTAACTATTTTCAATTTTAGAAGGAAGGGAGGAAAGAAAGAAATCAGGACTTAAGAACTTTTGTAAAATATGTTATTTTTAAAGTACAGGATAGGATTTGTTTAAATGGATTATCATAGAAATCCAGAAATATATCAAAAGAAGACAGAAGAATAAAACGGGGAAAAGTATCCCTTAATTAAAAAGAATAAAATCGTCAGTATCCGTTTAAAAGAGCAGAAAATTTAAGTTTCGACTATGAAGGGAAAAACAAATTGGGAATGATGAGGCTTTGCATTTGATGTTAAAGTAGTAAATGATACTGAAATAAATATCAAAATGTATCATCATACTGGCATCAGAAAGGGGATATAAATAGTACATTAAAAATTAAAATATGCCAAACTTATTTAAAAGATAGGTGAGATTTTCAGTCACAGTATATATTTTTCACTTATCAGACTGGCATTTTATTGGAGGTATGGGGGATATGTCTTCTACAGCCTATAAAATCGGGTGACCTCCATAGCACCTTGATTTGGAAATACCTGTGAAATATGCAAAATACACTCTGACTCAGCTCTTCTTTCCTAAGCTCTTTCCTTTCTTGAGAATTACCCCAGAGATTTCTACATACTGACAAAGTGACATTTTATCAAATATTGCTTGGATAAAATTGCTTAATAGCAAAGGAGTCAGGGACCATTTCTGTGCATTTGCAGTGGAGACATCCAGGTTTTTAAAACAGGACAAGAGAAAGATATATGTACAGATATAAAAAAACGCTTCAGACATTTACTCAAGTAAATTTTAATATTAAATATGTTGAGCCATTGGCAGTATTATACTTTGTATTATGTGAGATCTTAATAAAGTTTAAAGTAACTTTAACATATTTAATATACTATATTAATTTCAAAATATTTGGTTTGCATTGTAAGTTGTTTAAATAATATTTCATGCATTAGAAATACCCAAAAGATAATACACAAGACACTGATCAGGTTAAATTGCCTTTGTGAGAAAGAAATTATACAGGTAGGTCTTTCACCAGTTTTCCATTTTTGTTTTTTTTTTCCACCCTTGACATATTCGATATGCCAAACACAGTAACAACAAATCTCACAATGGAGACGTTACTGGGCCCGCTCGAGCAAATCGATGCATAAGAGGACAGTGCTACAGCGCTACACACTTTATTTCAGCACCTTGGTTTACAAAGTTGTTCATGATGTATTCGTTACAGGCAGTCAGTATCCCAACCCCAATCCTGCACCACAACTATGACCTTCCCTCCTCTTGGAGAGAACCAGTAGTATTACACTCTTGTCCTAGGGGAAAAGTCAGAAAACATGGCTTAATGAAAACCAACTTTGCAGAAGCAAGGATACACATTTGCATCGCTGCAAGAGTTCTCAGTGCTAACTCCTATCTCTGTACTTTGAGATCACTCAGCAAACCATGTATCATGCCAGAGTGGCTGCATACAAGGTATTGGAAGTTCTATCCAGTACATCGAGGCAAGAAAAATAAGTTAAAAGTCAGAATTATCTCACTGCCTTGCATATTTTCACCTCTCTGTAACTCACCAGAAACATATAAAGACATCCTCACTATAGCCTCACAAAAACTCACAATATAAAACTCCAGCTGCAAATGTCAGAATGGAAAAGCAGTGCAGAACCCCACCAGACTTACTGAGTGAGGATTGTAGCCCAGAAGACTCTAGCAGTAATACCAAGCTGTATAACCTCTCTGATTAGGAATTTAGAAAGGAATTGTTGAGTATGTGTAAGGAACTCAAACAGTGGAACAGACTGCCAATGAAACACAAAAGTATATGAGAAAGAAATGAGGAAATTATAAACAGAAATGACAGAACTAAAAAACTTGATAGATGAAAGGAAAAACTCAGCAACAGTGATAGCTGCTGAGGACAAAATCGGTGAACTTCAAGATGAAGTGCAGAAACCTCCAGACAACAGCAGAAGATAGGAAAGAAGTCTCAAAATAAATAAATAGCTGGTAAGAGAACATTGGAATGAATTCAGGAGTACAACATAAGAATAATTGGGGCTTCAGAGGGTTAGGAAGGTAACGCTGATGAAGTAGCAACATCAAAGACGTCATTGATGAGAAGTTTCCAGAGACGAAGAGTACATGCACCCAGATCCAGGAGGTGCTAAAGAGTACCAGCCATGAGCAATCCAAATAAAAATACTCCAAATAAAAATACAACCAATTAAGAATGATGAAGATCTGGGGCTGGACCGATAGCACAGCGGGTAGGGCGTTTGCCTTGCACGCAGCCAACATGACCGACACAGGTTCG